TAGTTCTCCAAGTTTCAGCTCTGTATAGTAGAACTGACTGTGTTGACGTTCGCATTGAAGATTCTGACTTTGATATTGGTTGAAAGTTGTTTTGAGTTCTATACATACTTGATTATGATTATACAGTATACATTATTATTAAATATAATGTAATTTTTTTAAGACTGCAAACGTTGAACATTTACATCTTGTCTGACAGACATTAAAAATAGTTAGGTCTCTGACAAAATTTAAATGGACTCACCTTCAAGTAGTTAAGTGACTTTACTGTTAAATTCAGTTCTTCTTTTAAGCCTAGCAGCAATAGTAAGGCACTTTTACATTGTATTAGTACAAATGCCTTGGAAATCTAATTTCGTATAAAAAAAGCCTTTAAAACCAATTTAATTATAATATGCCACATAGATTTACAGTGAAATGAATGGGGAAATTTTCCAATATTATGCATACTATTTAACTTGTTTTAAAACCATGGGCATAAATAAAATGAATTCAAAAGATGATTAAACTACCGGATCAACGGCAAAGTTTATTCAATATAGCCTTTATTTCTTATCCATGACATTTAGGCACTGCAAGAGTTACTATGATCTATATGATAAGCACTTGGCCGCTATACCAATCTGTTTAAATATTTCAAAGTAAATGTATCAAACAGTTGGTTTCATTCTTCATGAGCATGAAAGTCGAATGAGTTAAGCTTGAATAATCAACAGACCCATTTATGTTAAAACTCTATATTATCATCAATTACTTCTTACTATATATTAGATTATTTTCGCCAATTTTATTCTATGAAAATGATTAAATTTTTTTGAGTTTGATAAGTACTAAAAGCTGATTATCTCTTCATTTAAAAATTAAGCGTGTAATTGGATTCCTTTCTTGATTATACACATACCTATATATCATTGTACTTGATAATGATATGTAAATTTAATGTTTGAAATTATGATCAATATTGGCCAAAATAAATGAACGCATTGATGTCGTGTTATGAAATGGTTAAGTTCCATTTGGAAACTTAAATTACATCATGTAATAATTCAAATTTATTAAATTAAGTAACATTCATCAAAATGATTGTATCTTATCTAAAAATTTATCTTATGAAAGTACATAAATCACAGTAAATGAATAATGATACTTCAGTATGCCTTAGCTACTTGACAAAAACTCTTTTCTTTCCCTTTATGTAATAAATATACCTCATTCTTTGTAATTATGGCCCAAAAATAATTTTAATTCTATACAAAGACTTGAATTTCAACAATTATAATCACATGTTATGAATATGGTATGAATAACAAAAACAAAATGTCTCACAAGACAGATAGAAACAAGCCAATTATCATTCACGTGAAAGTGAAACATGCAATTTAATGTAATTGATTTAATTTCATTTTGGTACTCTTATAAAAATTTGGTAAAATTAGATTTTATATTTAAGATGAATTAAATCACCTAAATTATTAATGAGATAAAATTTGAACAAGTTAAATATTATGAGCATAGATGATACTTAATAAAGAGTCTATGAATCGCTATGAACCTCCTATACCTTTGTAGTGAACAGGAACACCAGTGAGGACAATCAAATGTATCTGACACAAAATTACAGGACTTGTTAATAAAATCTAACAATCACAAAGTAAATGATTAATTTGCAAAATATCCATCAATTGTCTTAAAATGACTCAGAATTCATTGTTCTTGCATTTTCATACAAATTGCATCCTGTTTCTATTCTTTACTATTCGATCCTCTTGTTTCTCTACTGTCAGACCTTCTGTTCTCTACTAACATCATATACTACTTATGTCAATATAAGTAGCACACACCACACATCTTCTAGAGTTCCTGTCGGTTCTTTATCAATCTGGTGAAATAATTTTAAAATTCTTACTAGAACCGATGATAATAGTTTGATATTTACAAGAAAAATATACTTTCCAGTCTTCTTTTTTTCCATCTGGGTTATCCTTTGCATCTAAAAATGACGACTCAAGTTTATTTATTCATATTTCAGCTCTAAAGACAATTATAGTTTGAACGTATACAATTTCAAACTAAAACTTCATTCATGTCCAAAAAGTAAACATAACACATTTAAAATGGTATTATCGAAAATAAACAGAGTTACACATTGTCAATAAACACACATTACAAACAGTATCATTGTAATTCATTGAATAAATAGTACCAAAATTGATATTTACAATCATAAATGATAGATAATAACTTATTATTGATTAATCATTTATATGACTAAATTATATAATAAGTCAAAATCTCATAGTAAATATTTATAAACGAAATCCAACTGGTCATAAAGTTGATTATTTGTAAAATGTTTGGACACAGATAATCAGTATGTTATCGAATATTTGAAAATATAATATGATATTTAGTGAAAATACAATTTACACTTTTTAGTATGTTTACTTTGTAACCAGAAATACATTGGATTCAGTTATGAATCATTCAATCTGTTCTATTCTTTAACTTAAATCATCTTTTTTGAAATATTTCTGAAGGACTTTTAAACTATTTTGTGATCTGAAGATTGAAACAGAGTAACTTTCCACTCATTTAGTTAACATTGTTAATCATTTTAATCTTTGAGAAATTCCCGTCATATTAAAGGCATAGTGTTGTGAATGAAGAATATTCTTTATAATCATCATTTGTCAGCTGGTTCTACAGTTATAAATCTGAATTAATGTTTCAAAATGGACAGCTAAATTTTAAGTCAATTACATTACTTGATTAAAATTAACTAATTAATTAAATCTAAGATTGTTGAAGGAATAAGGTAATTTGTCAATGTTTGTTGAACGTTCTAGTGCGAACTATTTACATCAGTCGGTTGACAGGTCAACTGAACTTATGATATGATTGATAAATATGTATATAGATATACTGATTAGTGTTGAAATGGCGAATGTGTAACAATAATTTGAATTAGTTCATAGGTCTATAGAAATTGTGAGACTAATAATTAGAATAAATACAGATAATGTAGGGTGAGAAAAGTAATCATGTGAACACAAACGTTTGTCTAAAGAAACTGCACAATACCATGGTGAGTTTTGAGTTAAGTACTTTCTATGAGGACTAGACAAAAAGAATGAATAGTATGGTAAGGTCATACTTGACAAAAAGTATGTTTAGAAAATCGTGTAGCAGTGACTAGACTATCGGATTACCAGAGATGAACCTAAATGTAAAGTTTCAGGTAAGGAATGTAAATCATTTATTCTGGTTTTAACCATTCACAAACTTGGATACTTGTGACCAGTTGTTAGTAATGCCGTCCTACCACCTACATAAGCATGTTGCTTTTATTATAGTTAAATGTCAGACAGAAATTAATTTGCTAAAGGCTCTCATTGTGTAAGTATAGTGTTACTAGTTAGGGCCCTTTATATATAAGTTAAATACGCTAACTTATATATCTCAAGACCAACTAATATCGCATAGCCACTCAACACTTAAATTTTATTAACCAATTAGCACTTAACTATTCAATATTCATTTGTCCGACAAGATTTCATATATTTTTTACAATTTCTTGTTGATTTTCTCTTAAAGTGAAGCATAATGACTAAAATCGACACATCTCTCGTGGCTTCGAATTTTGATGTATTTTACGACGTACAGATCAAATAATGAGCCATTATTTTTTTCATATAATGAAGCCAGGGGCCATCTCATCTGACCCTGAACATGTCACGACAGTTGGAAATGTAAGCATCTCCAGTGAGTGAATAAGAACACAGAATATTAAAAACAACAATTACCTTAAACTAAATCTCCAGACGTAACTCTAATATAATAAATATACTTTTATTATATCTCCATGAATAGAAACATTGTATTTCTGACATTTTGCGACTTAATGTAAGGCACTTCTTCAGAGCAAATAAATAACTGAATTAAACTAACACAAGTTTAAATAGTACTATTTAATTTTAGTGATTCATTTTTCCCGAAGAGATGGCTTACATTAAGTCACGAAGCGTCAGAAATACAATTTTTCTACTCATCGTGCTATAGCAAGAATATATTTACTATTAACTCCCTACACAACAGTCAGTTTATTTGAAACTATCAAGTTCAACCTTGATATTGATACCCAGTAACTCTAATATACTGCAATATTTATATGCATATACGTAAAACATCACATTAATCAAGGCAGTTTGATAAGTGTGTTCCGCAATTGGTAAGGAATTGGCAATACAGTAACACTTATACATACATAGCTTTAGCTGTATGTTCGAATTAACCTCGAGGAAGACGTTTGAGGTAGAGTTTAAACAATAGCATTCGCTTAAATAAACTATGAAGCATTTTACGGTTTTAGAAGTCAAACTCCAAGAGAGATTCTAGATTTCATGACAACTTCACGCCCGAGTTCATCTAGTTTAAGTTTCAAAATGTTCGAGGTAGTCAACTTTTATTTTGACGCAACCAAGAGCTACTAGAATCTCCGTTGATTTGGTAGTCTGAACTTTATCTTCATAGAAGTAATCGCGCAAACACAGCAAATTATCCCAATATGCTAGTAGTAATACGATTATTTAGCACTCAAAAGGAAAAATAATATGTAAGGGAAGTAATAATACTGATTCACTGATCCAACTATAAATATACAGCACAACTTTAGTAAGAAACTATTCTTAACAGTTCCTTGAGTTGATTTCAGCAAAGTTCTCTCGCCTGAGTGAATTTTCTTATCAACCAACACGAAAGCTGACCGCTGAATAACACCTGATCAAGCATATTTTCTAATATTAGTTCTAATGCCATTTGAATGCCTTCAAATTATCAGACACCACTTGTTGATTGATGCCTTTCTGATATTAATTAATTAATTAAAGTCACTTATGTTATCTTATTTACAGTATTCAAATGGAATGATTCTACTCAAAAGTAAAAACAGATTATCAATTAATTACATACTAATCAGTGATATTAAAACGATATATATATTTAGATAGAACTATATTCATTTAAACATCTTTTCATATATATTGTCCATATTATATCAAATAGATTTAAAGCTAAAACACAATGTATGTTAGCATGAATGTAATTTACACATAATGCATTTCAGAACGTTCACTTCAATGGAAAGAAAAATAACTGAACACACACACACACAAAAATAATGATACTTTACGGCACAATATCCCTGGATGATGAAACCATAATAAGAATAATAATAAATAAAACTATAATGAGATAAAAAATAAGCAATCTGAAATATTAAGACAGAAAAAAAAAATTAATGTTGAGTCAAAAGTAAAAACAAAAAGAAAAACTTTTATAAAATAAGCCAATAAAAATAAGTTTATTTTAAAAAAAAACAAAACAAATAGCACACAACAGAAACAAATTGTAAAATGATGTAATCATTTGACAGATTGTAAGTAATATGATATATGTCATAAAACCAGGTCAGCTGATAGATCGTATACAGCACACAGATATTGAAAATAGAATATATTCGAATATTTAGTGATCTAATCTACACCATCAAATTCAAATGATTAAATCTTCTAATGCATTTAAACTTCCAGACAATGTGGATTGAACAAATGATCTAATATTAGGGAATAAGATTAAAGAAAACATTTTCTAAAGATTATTTAATAAAAGAGCGAAATATTCTAATGGAAAAATATTTGCTTTCAAATACATAAGTAGTTGTTATTTGAAAGATAACTGGAATCATTATTATATTATATTGTAATAAGCCTTATGTCAAACATTTCTCAATATAACCAATGCTCCGCGTAGAAACAATGCAGTAAACTAAAAAGCATTTCATAAATGTACGATTGTTTTTAAATGAGTTGGTTCAACTTCACAAATCCAGTAGTGAATGTTTCATCTGTCTAGACCATTGTATCCACCCCTTAAAATTACTCAGTAATTCACTGATACACTAGCAGTGTTGTAAAGTCATTTATGTTCAAAATTCCACACGTAACCTACGCTTGATGATGAATTACAGAAAATTTATAAAGTGAATCCTTTATAACAGTTAATGAATTTACTTAAGCAAGACTTTTTAATAAGAACAAACAAAGTAATTCCTAAGAGTTGGGAGAGAGCAATTTTGACATATCACATTCCGAGGAATAGAATCTCTTAGTTTGGGACTTCAACTGATGTTTTCCAAAAGCAAACAGTCGCTAGTACACTTCCTAAGCGGATGATTTAAATAAAAATTCTTTCCAGCTGCGACTCGGGAAACGTTTGAAATGTCATCTTGAGTTCATTTAAACTTTCCCATTGTGAGTTTTGATGTTTAACTAAGTGACTCGCGAAATGTTTGAAACAAACCTGACAGATTTCAGTGTAACCTAGTGAGAACATTATTTAGGTAGAAACCAGTTGTTAGATAGTGGAAAGTTGTATACCACGATTTACCCAAACCGTTAGTTATTTTGAAAGGTTACTAGAAATTTTTCAAAGTCTACATGTAATTATCGATTGCAATTCAAACAAAATGTGTACAGTTTACCTTTTAGGAAAAATATTTTCGCTTTTTCAATCGTGCAATTGATATATAAGGCATGAAAACTACGGAGAATTACATCTCTGTCAATGAACTAGCTAGATTATTGTACAACAATATATACGATTTCCTAGTTGGAAATGCGTGAGTATTATACTAAATGGACAATAAGTGCGTTTTTCGTTTGAAATTGAATATGATAAGATGATATTGGAGTTATTAAATCAAGCGCCTAAAAAAGTGGTTTCCCGAATTCCAACTACTTAAACCCTTCACTGTAACTATTGATCATTCATCTGAAACATGTTTTCGGTAAATGGACTAGATATCTCACTAGTTTATTCAATAAATAAAACCAGCCGTAATTAACTTTATTTGACAAACCTAAGAAAAATGTATAATTTTAAATCCTACATTTTACTTCTGCTTACAGAGTGCAGCAATATATTTACGTTGGAATTAACATTTTCTGGAAGTCAACAAGGATTCGATCGTTGGTGTTTTCAGTCCCATTTGTTCCAGAAATTCATTTACTTGTCAAATATTCCGTGCAAAATTCATTACTGTCATTATTCCTTGACTAAAATATTATGTGTGCATAAATTATTAGTTTATTGAGTTGCTTATTCTGATATTAACAATGAACCCATAGGCAACCTCATTTTGAAAATTAAACACTTCAGTTATCAACCAAAGAAATTAATTATGTTAAGATACGTGTTAAATGAACTGATCAAACGGTTTTATTTCATATATTAAGCATGCTGTACTAAATATCTTAATTCAAGGTGTTCCAAGTTAAACATATTAATTCCTCATACATTAAAAAACGCTAGTAATACGGTGAGTGCTACTTATGTTGATGGACATAAGTAGTATGTGACACCGATCAGAAGTGGAATGACTGGCAGCAGAAGGTTGCGAAGATAGACTTGAAAAGAACGTGGAATTAAGAAGAGAGTAATTTTAATAGCGATGAAGTTTGAGACAATTCATGGAAGATTTGCAAATGAGGCATTTAATGTATGGTTTTTCACATTTTACGAAAGAACTCTGTAATTTTGCATTAAATGATAAATTGGTTGTTCCCACCTGAGTTTTCGTCCACTAAAGTACTTACGTAATAAAATCCGGAAGATCTGGTGCTGTGTGAATAAAATTATGTCGGTAACCGAGTTTGCCTTCGTACGGCTTGAAGAATACTGAAGTACCATTAGTTGAAAGAATTTCAGCAAGCTATAGTTATTTGTTATTATTCATAAAAGTAATAGTTCAACACAGAAAAATTCAGGTCAATATCAATAAAGAACTGTTATGATAAAGAGAATTAACAATACTTTCCAAATATTTAGCCTTGGAAATTCAGGTGAATATAGCAACAAAAACGTTGTTTTTCCTTAGTGACTAGCTTTTATTACTCAAATTCTTGAAACAATGTTTACCTGATTTCACCGGTGGTAGTTATTTTAAATTTCCTCAAATGTCTTAGTAAAATCGAGAGTGTAAAGAGGTCTTTTCCGCCGATTAAATGCTGTCAAGTGACGGAGTGTTTATTGTCTGTCCACGATAAACACTACCTCTGGCTTCACACAAGATAGATATTCATGCAAATATAAAAGAATAAAAATGAATTTCTAGTGTTTACAGTGGATTGGTGTACATGAAAGGTTTATCTGGTGGAGAATAGAATAATTTTGATATCAAATTAATGGCACATTATGTGCTGAAACCAGAGATGATCAAAAAAAGTCGGAAGATAGTCAGTGAATGACATAAAGCCATGGTACGAAATTTATATAGGACTAGCATCTGTAAGTCGGTTACGACTTTTCAATTGTAACCCAAGAGATCATCAATTTCAGTGGTATGAGATGCTATTAGACATGGCCCAGAACTGAGGCTGGGAGAATTCTTTCCGTAGGTTTCAGTAAATTCTTCGCATGCATAAAGTGAACCTTATCTCGATTGTAGTATTTATTGAAGTATATGATTTATTTATTACTTTATTTATTTACTTATTGATCAAATGATTATTTTCCACTTTTTTCTATTTACAATATTTAATTTCCACCTTGTCTAGCATATTCTTTTCGTACAGTATAATGTGAAATATTTATATAATAGATGCATTATTTTTCACTGAGTCATAATTAAAGCATTACTATCAGATCTTAGGTGGAATTTAAGTTATTTTTTACAGATATTACTTTTGAGGGATTTCTTCAATTCGTGAATTATAATGACAAATAAAAGCTTAGACATAACAGACTAAATTCATGCTCTACAATGATAAAATAACTAATGAAAACTTTTCATGATGATAAAAGAACCAATAACTTTGAGTCATAAGACCTTCCATCATATTTATTCAACTCTTTCTTAATTTATATCTTTTATCAAATCTCAAAATCAGAACTAACAAATTTCGTTAATGAATGATCTCGACAAAAAAAACATACATTGAGTGATTAACAACACCCGAGTAAACACAATCAAAACCCAGTGTAATTACTCAACATGATATTTTTCTTTTCCGAAAATCAACAAAGAAATATGAATTCGTTAAGTATTTTATCAAATGAAATTGTTATAATGATTACCTTTTTTCCTAAAGTGAATGGCACAACAGCATCATCTTCAGCGTGTAATATAACTATCGGAATGGGACAATTTATTAGGCTAGAAAATATAAAATAAAAAGCCTTCAATCATAAATGTTATAATAAATGTATGTAAGAAATCAAAGCTAGAACGTTTTACTTAGTATGTAATATGAAATTTTGCTTAGTTTTGCTTGCAGATAGGTACGATCCTCATTCAATAACCATATACACTTCCATCTGTGACCATTTTCTTTACAACAATATCCTTAAACCATAATGATACTTTTGACTCCTCAATTCTTGATTGATCACATTGAAACCAATTTACTCTTTTACTGCAGTGTTTGGAAAGATTTCGTCATAGACTAATGGAAAACTAGGAAATTCTTCAACGTTGGCCACCCAAGACCCGAGCAGGTATCGGACACATAACCGTGATAGCTAGCAACGAAAACTGAGCATTTATACTACTGAGGTAAAATCTATCTATTCACTAGAATCGATTCGTGATATAACCCAACAATTATTCAGTCTCAGTAGTGAATAATTGCTATAGTTTGGATATGGTTGAACTTAGCCAGTTACCGATTCTCGCTACAATTTCCGGAATTCGTCACTAGTTCGATTACTAAGCGGTGCATAATCAGTGTTTCGTTAAAGGATTTATTGAAATATAATTTTAGATAAAGTTAGTTTTTTATCAGAAGGAGTTTTGGGAGATTTTAGAAATTTCACAGATTGAAATCATGAGTCAATTGAAGCTAGGCCACCATGGAAAACCTGGAAGCACTGGACGGCCGTTTCGTCCTAGTGTGGGACTCCTCAGCAGTGCGCATCCACAATCCCGCACCCTATGGTGGTCTAGCTTCAATTGACTCATGATTTCAACAAGTGAAATTTCTAAAATCTCCACAAACCCCTTCTGATAATAATCATTTGCTCACTAGTGACTGACTTCAAGAGATACTCCTGGAGTTCTAGTGAGAAGTCGTAACCAGTGGAGTTCAACCAGGTCTGTGGTGAGATATCAGCTCACTGAAGACAATGGTGTATGGTGGCGCAACTTCGTGGAAAGTTAGTTTTTATCATAAATTAAAATCAACTGGATTGTGGATCTAAACTCTTGATGAATGAATAATGGTTCAACAGAAGCTAGCATTTGTTTTTTTTATATTTAATTATCCATCATCATTAAAGTATTTTAGTAACATAAAACTTGATTCATATTATCTAATACGATTGCATACATGTAAAGCTTTAATGAACAGTATGAGTACAGTGATAATAGGTGATAATCATTGTATTGTTTTTATGAAATTGAGTTAAATAGAAATATAATGCAGTCTATAAACTTAAAATATAGTTAATCATATGCTGATTAAATATTACTTTTTATTCGTCCTAAACAATAAAATCGATAATAAACAAACCAATAAATATGATGTTTTAGTTACAGAATTCAACATAAAACAAGTGAAAACTTTAGTAGAAATTTCAAAATACAAACACAATTTGTTATAAACAGAAGCTTGGATTATATATGCCAATGACCTTATTTCGATTCAGTATTCATATTATATAATCATTAAATGGTCTCATAAAAATCAATGACAATGGTTGGGTGATTTTCTACAAGCCGTGATTTAATGTTTTAATTATATAATGAAAGAGAATTCACGTACAAATTGTTTTAATGAGTGATTTACTAAAAACATTCCTTGAAATAATAAGTACTAACAGTGAAAAATTCTATTATTCATTAACAAATTACAATTTTATTAAATCTGAAATTGAATGTGATTCAACAATGCAGTACAGATTAGAGTATTCACTTTCGAGTTTAAATGTTTATAGTATAAGGTTTAATGATGGTGTACGATTGTTCAAATTGAAATTTGGACCTGCAATCTAATTTATTGCTCAATAATTACTTTGTATGCATATACCAAACATCAGTAAACAATATGCTGGAATGTGAAACCATATATGTAAGAACATATTATGTCGTATTGATTGTCATTGAGAAAACTGGACATATTATTACATATAAGCCTGAACATCTCATAAATAATTAAATTACAACCCACTAGATTTATCACTCCATATTCGTGTGTTAAAACATATACGTTGGGAGCAGCAATCGGACTATATAATCAGGGGTGATGGAACTTGTACCTATATGACTTCACAACCAGTTATCACCAAATGATCCGACAAATACGCGGAGAAAATAGTACTAGTTGATAACAAATAACATTATTGAAGCAAGTCATGGAATTTTATCTCAACACATCTTTCAAGAATTTATACGAAAATTGTCAAGGATGGAAACCTTGATCTTTAAGAAACTTAAGTCTCATTAATATGTACAGAAACAATTCATTCTAACTATGAATCCGTCTAGGACAATGTAACAACTCCTTATTCTTTTCACGATATATTATTTTTTCACTACTTCCTAAATTATCACTTTATAATTGACCTTTTATTTGCGTGACTCTCATTAGCTATTACATACAAATACCTTGAAAGGTATGTATGCCACTAAGATATCTGTATAGCTTGAAAACATTACATTTTCCATATTAACTGTCTTTTCTTAGTACTATTGAAGGTACACTTAGGACCATATTTCAAACTTTTATTTCCTTGTTTAGTCCAGAAAAGTCTGTTCCTTCTAACTAAAATTATCTAACGTTTGAACTGACAAACAAACATGGCATTATGAATGAAATTGACTAAACCACTCTTTTTTTTGCCTTGAATTATGTAACAGGTTCAAGCTTCGCTTCACCTACTTACTTTTTCTTTAATAGGATTAGTGTTACTACTTGCCGGTTCGAACTCAATCATGCTTTTATTTGATCTTAGTTTCTTATGATTCAAGCGTTACTTGATTAACGAAATAAAATAGTATAGGTTGAAACAATACATTACAGACGTGTTGGTGTACTTTTCTGAATCATAAATCACGTTTCTATAGTGCCGTTGTTTAGTATTATAAATTGAGATAAACTTAGCAATTGTTAAACCAACCTAACGTAAATCAAACTTTTCTATTTTTTAAAAAAGTAAATTGTCATTATTAAACTTTAGTTAATTGATATCACACTAATAAGCTAAAATACAATCTATGGGACATTTGAACAGTGTCACAATATGCATTATATTCTACTAAGACAAAAATTATATGACCTCAAAGATTACCGATTTAAACAAACTCAATTGTTTTTTTTTCTTCTTTTTAACTTCAGTAACATGATATGAAAACAAATTTAATTTATAATAAGAATTCTAATCGATCAGTCTTTCATTTTACTTGGAAGCCAATAATATAAACCAATAGTAATAATAAAAAGGAAAGAATAGTTTAACAAACTATATATCACATTGATCAATCCACAAACATTGATATATACAGTGACAAGAAATAACCAGTAATAAATGTATAGGAAAGCTCATTTTAAAACCCCAAGTCAAGATCATTTGTTTAAAAGCTTTAGTCTTGATCAATTATATGTTTGAAAGAAAAACAATTTAGGATTATATACAGCATATACATATTTATCTGTTTATTTAATTTATCAGTAGTAGGAATAATAAATCAAGTGACTAGTTGTTGTTAGGATATAGGTTCATTCTATTATTTCCATATATAAATCCCTCAAAACACTGAATTCACTTGTACTATAAACTTAATAAATGTATGTAGTCAATAAACTGCTCATTAGGTATTGTATGTCTATTGTCATTAATAAGTTATATATATATAGCTTGTTGAAACTTCTAAAATGAAAATAGGTCTTATTTAGATTTAAGTAGTGCACCAGTTAGCTATTGCCAGGTAACCCAGCTCGTTCTTTCCCATAGTAGGATTTTGATAATGGTATCCGGTCAACGAACATTGAGTATCTTAAATAGACAATTATTTACAAATACTTGTACCATTTTGATGATGGTTGTGGTAGTTCTCCAAGTTTCAGCTCGATACAGTTGAACTGTCTTGACATTCGTATTGAAGATTCCCACTTTGATATTGGTTCACAGTTGTTTTCAGTTCCAAATGTTCTTCAGTTGTAGTGATGCGGCCTTTGCTTTGCGAATCCTCAACTTCACCTCTGCATCTGGTCTTCCTTGTTCATCGATGATCCTACTAGGTTAGGTACCTGAAAGATTCCATCTCTTCCAGAGTTTCTTCATCAAGTAAGATTGGGTTAGTGTACTTTGTGTTGTATTTAATGATCTTGCTTTTTCTGTTGTGTATGTTAAGGGCCACTGATGCTGAGGCTTCTGATACACTATCTGTCCTAATCTGCATTTGTTCGTGTGTATGTGATAGAAGAGCTAGGTCATTTGTGAAGTCTAAATCGTCTAGTTGCACTCAAACTATCCGTGTACGACTGACCCTTACAATATCCAGCATGTTCAACTCGAAGCTGGACGTTTACTGAATCTTCCATCCGGTTCAGAAACACTCTGTTGAAAACCTTTTTTGGTACCGATAACAGTGTGATGCCTCTACAGTCCTCACATTTGCTCAGATTACCTTTCTTTGTTATCTTGATGAGTATCCTTTTTTCCTCTTAAATCTTAATGCATAGAACGTGGAGCATCTTTGCAGTTACTTCTATGTCTGATTTCAGTGCTTCAGCTGGTATATTGGCAGGACCTGCTGCTTTTCCACGCTTGATTTATCTGATGGCCATTCTGGTTTCTTGCGTCGTTGGTGAAGTGACATTTATAGAAAGGTCTGTAGGTGCTGCTTCGATGGCCGGTGAATTCAATGAAGCTGGTCTATTCAACAGTTCCTCAAAGTATTTTACCCATCTGTTCCTTTGTTCTTAAATCTCGGTGATTGTCTTGCCTTCCTTATTCTTGATCGGTCTCTCTGGTTTACTATATCTTCCTGCTAGTTTCTTCGTTGTGTCATACAGTTGTTTTATATTTCCTTATCTTGCAGCTTTTTCCTCCGTCGTTGCCAGTTATTTCACGTATTTCTGCTTGTCGGCCCTATTGCTCCCCTTCACTTGCTTGTTTACTTCTGCGTATTCAGTTTGTGTTTTGACTTTCTCTGTTCTTTTTCGCCGTCTTCTAGTTATTCTTTCCTTGAATATTGTCCAGAATTTCAACAGAGATCCATTCCTTATGATGATGCCTTTTGCGGCGCAGCACCTCTTGACATGTTGAAGTTAGTGCATATTCGATCCCTTTCCAGTTGTTCTCCATAGTAGTTTCCTCTTCTTTCAGTAAATCCTGTAAGGCTTAGAATCTGTTGTTGAGAGAGATCCTGAATTCGTTGAGTTTGTTAATATCTTGAAGGAAGGCTGTGCTGAACCTTTGTACCGCTGTTTCCTAAGTTGTCCAGTGCTTCTTTAGCTTCATTTCGATCTTGAAGTTGCACCGATGTATATTATTTTATGCTGAATGAATAAAGAAGCTAACTCAGAAAATTCAACTTATTTGAATCAGTAATCATAAAACAGTAATAATTTTAAGGCTTCACAAAACTTGCATTATGAAATTAAATTAAGTAACATGGTGCTTCAAGCTCAGCGTTATCAGCATAATAATCCATTAGTTCCAATTGTTTCAGTTATCTCATCGACCTTTATATTTCATAATATATACATATCTTTAAATAGTTGATATGTGCTTCGACTGTTCAAAGTGTATCGCTCTGATACATCATATGGTTATGATAAACTTACCATGACAAAATATCTTACCTTGAATCAAGTTATCAATATTCGAATAAAAAAGAAAATGATATCAAAATAAAATGTTTAATCGTTTCATTTTGGGTTATTTTAAACAACTTACTTAGACTGTGTATTAAATGACAATTTTACTTTGTTCATAGCCGATACAAATCGTTCCTGTAAAGTTGGCATTAATTGATAAGGCTATAATAAAATAAATTATAATTGTAAAGAAGAAATGGTTAGTAATTAGTGGATGTAATTTTGTAATTATTGATTTTGGCTTAGTTTGATAATATTTCATTATCGTAATTTATTTATATCATAGCTCTGTAACTATATTTCTAATTTAAATCATCACAATAAAAACGTACCACGTAATAAAATGAAAATATAAGTCAATCAGTAAGTGTTGATACGACAAATATGATCTACAGATGACAGTAGAACTGAACAAACAACTAATTATTAATTTTTTCCATTGAAAAGAAAACTAGGAACTACTACTAGTAAAAATGAATTTTAACATAATGTCTACCAGAATGGTTTGACGTTGCAATGAATTCGATGTTGATAGTTTTCTTTATCCTTCATCAAAAGTATTCCATATGGATATCGATTGTTGTAAGAAATATTCAGTGAGCGAATTCTAATAATTGTTAAAATATACTTAACAACTACTACTGATAACAATGTGATAAGAAAAAAGGATATAATTATTATCAAGCATGTCCCAGTCACTTTTTTTCTTTGAATCAACTGAATTATACAGATTTCGTCTCATGTGTTTATTGTATATTCAAAGATAAGTGTCTAAGTAAATGAAAAGGCCATAGTATTTATTTAGTTACACAGAGATAATATAAACACTACTTAGTTAATAATCTAAAGGTAACTTAAATTGAAACGTATATTTACCTTCATGAATATTCTGTGATGTATCACATCAGTTAAGCATGTAAATGGGGCATCAAGAATAATACCTTTTGGAAGACGAATATTTGGTAAAGAATCATGCTCTTTATTTAAATGATCCATAAGACAACCGACAACCCTATTAACAAAAAGCATGCACAAAACAAATCTATTATCTAATTGTGCAATTATCAAAGACTCTAAACGTAATGTTAGATTTATTTGCCCTTTACACAGTTGAAACTATTGTTTTAGACTCAAACTGAAATGGAACTTCATCGAATCGATAAGAATTGTAATTTGAGATAAAGTAGCAAAGTAAATATATGTAATGCACTGCACATGATAAAAATTACTTTTATTTTATTATATATATAGGTTTAAAAGTTAAATTTTCACAGTTTGTTAAGCTATACTTAATATTACTATCTACATCAAGCTGATCATACCTGTAAACTAGCATGAATTCTGTAACTATTATTTTCATTACAACATTAACTAAACCAACTAAATGTTACATGCATACCATCATTAGTTCATTTTACTCTTCTTTTTTATTAATTACCAGAGGTTTTGTGAGGTATACGGCTAAATCGAGGCACGTTTGCTTCTTAGAGAATCGCCTTCAACTGTCTGACCTCAAGGTTTAATCGACAAGACGAACACGAAACATCAAGGGATGGTATCCAGGGTTCAAAATGGGTTTGTGTATTATTCGTTCTAAAATCCTGGGACCCATTCGAATTATTGGTTTCAAATACAGATTTTCCAACTTTCTTATATATATTTATCTCCTTTTCATCATAAGCTTCCGTTTGACCCATTAACTGCTATTATACGATTTATTATTCTTGATTTATTCCCAACCGATTATTCAGTCTCCCATATCACAAGCACTCTTAGCTTGATCTTGAATAATTGTTATTTTTCATTTTACTATGTGATAAGGTCTGATCTGCTTGTACATAAACTACGTATGTTTGGCACTACTATTCATACAGTGGAGAGTGGTTACTGTGCCGTGAACTCAATGGACAGGGAAGGAGGGAAGCTACTGTGTCGAAGACCAATCAGGATTTAGAGTTGACTCAAGGCTACAACTAGCGCTGGTTGGCATATTATTGGTTAGCTAAAGGATAAAGTCGTAGAAATCGATATTGATATTGGTCTTATCACGTGATGTTAGATAGGCTCGTAAGTCATAACCAAAACTGAATATCCACCGAACTATCTAAAGCATCAAATATCCTTTTTACCCTTGGGGTACAATAAAAGCCACTGCAGTAGCAAAAAGAATCTTGGTAAAGGTTCCAAAGCCGGAGCAGTACAAAGGCATTTCGAGAGAAATCGTGGACTCTATCCATTGTCAACTGCGCCAGACCATTTGTGAGAGGATATACACAATCGATTAAAATCTTTTACTACTAGCACTGATAGTAAACATGAAAAATGCTTCTTACCCAGTACCAAGTGAATGACCCCAAAAGAAAATCGGCGCTGAAGGAAACCGTTTACAAACAAATTGAAAAACTGTTAAACTATCCAGTAGACAGTCATTTTCTCCGGTTAATGACCCAGTTGAATCGCCATAACCTTAAATCAACACAAACCAATATTTGAAATTATTCAAAATGTACTGTAATCATGCCATATATATTGTATGCCAGTTACCAATATTTGAAGGTAACAGAAAACGCTACATAATTAATCTTAATTGTGAATAAGTTCCCTTCGCTTAAATATTATGATAGATATGTGGTTCAGAAAAATACGTTACAAGAACAAATTCCACTCAATTTTATTAAGTTATTGAATTTACCTCAATTTACGTTTCCGTCAACATACTGATGAGTCACATGAACCTACTAGAAGCTGTTTTGTGAATGAAGAACCATAATCGTAAAAAAATAGCATATTTCAAATGTGTATATATCTCTTAATCACTTCCATTTGTAATTTTTAAAGTAATTCGGTGATTATTTTAATCTATTATTAAGATAAGTTATATTAATTCTCTTGATTCTTACGTAACCACTATCCTATTGACCATCCATTAAAAAATTCTGTCCCTTCTCTTTTCATATATTACGCAATGCAGCAACTTCTTAATTTAATAATTACTTTGAATATTAATAATCCTCTTTCTTCCAATTACTCAATATTAAATAGAGCAAGAACAAACATTGATGCAGAATAGTATGAATTCATATTATTTCGAGATTTCTCGTCAGCTGCTTACAAACCAAAATTGTGATAGAGTTTTTACATGGAGATAGTGTAAAAACTCTATCACAATTTTGGTTTGTAAGCAGCTGACGAGAAATCTCGAAATAATATGAATTCATACTATTCTGCATCAATGTTTGTTCTTGCTCTATTTAAATTCATAAAGGGAACTAATTGCATGAAATTACTCAATATTAATTTAAATGTCATTATGTAATTATTACGTAACGTATCCACTCGATGAGTATTATATTATTATTGTAAAACGTATATATATTAGTGTAGAGCCATGATGAAAAACTAATTGAAAAGAAATTTCTTCGCTCGATTCGTTCCTTCTTTATTTACCAAACTGATTAAAATTTCCTTTTTTTTAAAAAAACAAATTTATGGTTAACACCATGTTAACTGCACTATAACAGTAACTACAAAAACGCGATGGAAAATACAGTAAAGATATTATATATAAAGAAAGAGGTTTAACTCAGTAATTTCTGAGATAATTTGACTTAGATATTCAAAACAATAGGTTAAAAACAAGAAAACATCGTGAATTACACAAGGAAAAGTGACCTTGAGCATACATATCATGAAGAAACGAGAAATGTGAAACTTCAACAGCTATTCTTTGATGAATTAGTCTTCATATTTTCACTAACATTTTATTAAAAACAGTAGCTGTATGATATTTTTTATATAGTTCCAATTATAAACCTTGATTTGATTTATCATTTCCTGTTGTAGCACCTGGAGCAAATCAGATTTTCAATAGTAAAGTCAGAGAAAATTAACAAGAGTTAGTCTGACCGATGAAAAGAACCAATCAGAAAAAACATTCCAGATGAAAAGAATGTAGTCACATAAAACAAAACAAGAATTAATGTTACGTTGACAAATTTGAGTTCTACGAAGAATGAATCCATTTAAATACTTGGAGTCAACTGTGAATTATTTTGTCTAGAAAATCTAATCATAGATGAGATTTTCAAGAAATCTAACAATAAAGCCTGTATTTTCCTATTTAGTTCGAATTAACAGTTAGTGGTTTCACAAACTGATGTCAATAACTTCAAAAATTTACTAAGTGTAATATAATTAAATAACACGAACTGGACCACGATTCTTAAACAGATAAAGAATTTGATAAATCAGCCAATCTTTACTTATTATGTCTACATTGTGAACAGTGTTAGTTACCAATAAGCCAAATTTACGGAGACTTCATATATACTGTTATAGTTAAGGAATATCTCTCCTAAATCCTACGACTAATCGAATCATATAACGTTTTTACTATATCAACTGAAGAAGTATTCAGCGAAAAGAACTATTAGCTTTTTGCTGCATACACAAGTTCGATCATACGATTCACTGATATTAGGAATCATAAAATTTAAATCCTGTAGCTAAATATGTATATCTATAGTCATTGATACTCTATTTAAGTTCACAGTGTCTGCATCTATAATGTCAGTAAAAGTTCTCCATGAAAAGTAAAAAGACAAAAATTATGTAAGGCTTGGAAAAGATAACTTATTAATTCACATCACAGTTTTTAAAAAATAATACGGTGAGTGGAATCCAATGTAATAAACGCTAAAGAGAAGGAAGAAACAATAAGCAAAGGTGATGAGTAAATGGATATTATTCACTGACAGATGAAAAATCGGACGTGGAACTGATTCAAGATCGTATTATCTGAATTCACAAGATACAGACTGTCTATCGAATTCTGATCAAGAAGCCTAAGATACTCCGCATAACTTAATGGAGTTGACAGAGATCTTCATGTACTGATGTTATGCTGTGGTTTGAGAAACAATTTAATGCTATTGAAGCTAGAATGAAATATTGGGATAGAGAGTAGTTAGACAAATAAACTAAGGAGGACTACGTGATTACGGGTGGAGTACACAAGTTAAAGATGTACAGAATCATGTTTCGTTTTTAGAGAGATCCATAAACAACTATATCCGAACGAAAAATAATAACTGCTAGGAGTTATTTATAGACTACTATTACATATATTCTCACCGAATAACTAATATATGACTAGACTACATGTATATTTGTGTTCGCTTTATCATAAGCCTTCACTTGACCTATTGATTACTGTTATACAACTATTCTTAACTTATTCCCAATTTATAAAAATCTTCAATACGAATGTCAAGGCAGTTCTACAGTACGGATCTGAAACTTGGAGAACTACAACAACCACCATCAAGAACGTACAAGTAGTTATAAACGGTTGTCCACGCAAGATACTCAACATTCATTGGCCGGATACTATCAGCAACAGCCTTCTCTGAGAGAGAACAAACCAGGTTCCAGCTGAAGAAGAAATTAGGAAAAGACGATGGAAATGGACAGGACATACATTACGCAAATCATCAAACTACATCACGAGACAAGCCCTAACTTGGAATCGTGAAGGGAAGCGGAGAAGAGGAAGGCCAAAGAACACATTATGTCGGGAAATCGAAGCAGACATGAAAAGAATGAATAACAACTGGAAAGAGCTGTAAAGGATTGCCCAGGACAGGGTTGGATGGAGAATGCTGGTGAGCGGCCTATGCTCCTTCACGAGGAGTAACAGGCGTAAGTAAGGAATTTATAAGTTACAGTATTCCATACAGCCACGTTTGGTTTGATGAAGTATAATTATTATTTTTAATTTTATGGTATGATGCGGTCTGATTTGCTTGTATACAAACTATGCATGTCTGAAATATACGATAGACACATTGGAGGCTGATATTTGTGTTCTGGACAGAACGGGTTGGGTTAGGCGAGAAGTTACTATACAGAGGACCAATAAGGACTCAGAGTTGACTCGAGGCTGCTAGTGCTGTTTTGATGCATCGTTGATTTAGCACAAGGGTAATGTCATAGAAGTCAGTATCCTGATTGGCGATTTTGTCACGTGATATTTGACGGGGCATGTGACATAACAATACTATGTTGAATAATGATTGGAATTGTCATAATATACTGTCAATACAGCACTTATTATGTAACAACATCACATTTATGAAAATTAACATTTCTTACATTAGTATGCGTAAAACTGATCATATATCGTACAATCATTTACTATGACTAAAACATATATTTCTTACTAAATTGTGCGTTTAGCTTGCATAACTTACGTTTTGTTTGTGAAATGTTTAGTATTTACTATGTTTGGAATATTATGACGGTAAATCCTAACTTTATGTTACAGGTAACAACTGATTAAAGTGTAAAGTTTTTCATATATTTATAAATCAATTTAATCGAACGATTCAAGTATTATCACTAACTGGTTGATTTTTGACTTAGAAATCATCAAACTTATTTCAGTTATCACAAATAATATAATTCAAGTAGATATAACACTGTAAAACAAGATAATGCTTAGTCATAATAAAACAAGGTTACTGAAATTCGAACGATGCGTAGTTTGTGGGAAATTAATTTTTCAGGGTGTAAAATTGTATTTTGGTGTACTCTTGTCACCCTTATTGTCAAACAAATAAAAAACTTAGTTCTAATAGTCTAATGGAAAACCTACTGTCTGACGAATACAAAACTGTCAGCTTCAATAAAGTAACATCTCATAAATCTTGTTACTATAGTAACGTCATTTCATATGACAATATTAAACGGCTATGTTACGAGAGATGTTTGTTAGCGTTAGATTCCAACGGAGGAAGATTTTTGAGACAAGGAACGGTCTATGGGAAACAAACTTTCTGTCATTTTATTATCTAGGATAACCATTGTAAACAGAATGGCCCTTCAATTAAATACATGTGCAGCATGAAAGAATATTGGCAGCGGCTAACAAAGTCTACATGGTATTTCTCTAAACGTCCTATATGTAATAAGTCAGGGAAGCTATTGGTTGCGGATGTCGATCCTTCGCTCATGTTCATCTAATGAATGGTAATGTTTAGTGTCACCAGATGGTCAATGACTCTTAGCCATGATTTGCTATATAAATATGATGAAAGTAACATCGAAACTCCGATTCAACTAAGTACTGTGTTGTAAACAAAACTTACCGTTAAGCTGGAATTTCTGATATTTATAACTTACAAACTTTGGTCTAACGGTAAATTTTGATTGTGTTAACACCTCGCTGGAAAACTTAGTAGGATAAAGTTAATAAAATTTACCAATTTCAACATCAGAAAAATTCACTTCCTCTTAAAAACCTGGAACTCGTATTATCACTAGCATCAATTTAAAAATACCGTCAACACGGTTTCAAACAGGCATAACTTCTTTAAGATATCTTACTGAGCAGTCTATTTAAATAGAAATTATACTTAATATAATAAACTTAGTTATGTTTTAGTTAGTTAGAGTAACTTTTTACATCCGTCATATAATCACATGATTCAACATATTGGTTATTTCCTTTTAGTTTTCTGTATTTTCATTTTTTTCTTTGGTAAAACATTTATTGGAAAAACAGTCGCACTTCTTTCAAAGTTATAGAGTTCTTTTACTGATATTATATGTCACTAAATAAGTAATTTGTAAGTACTTAAACTGTCATTACTACATTTATCAGTTAAAAATTCTATCACAATCATAATGTACAATTATTTACAATATTACACTCATTACTTCTGTACTATTTTCATTGAGCTTAGTTAATGTTTTTAAGGTTTCAACCACCGGGATAACGACAGTATTATTATTCAAACAGTTTACATGAGAAAGCAAGTACATAACCAATTATGTAAGCCAAATTAAGAAGAGTAAACAAATTCAAAATTCCAACATCCGTAGCATTCCCGTCGATAGTTGTTCAACTACGAAATTCAACTTACCTCTGTAATCGAAACAAAAAACGTGATAGCCAAGAGATGACAATAGTTTATAAATGTTTACCCTCCAAGGAATAGCCCTTGATTTAGAATTGCCATGGAAATAAATAAATACAGGCAAATCATTAGGCAATGAATTCATTATTTCTTCATAACTCCGTGAATCGGTAGCACTAATTTCTTCATTATTCGATGGAAGAATATGCCTAGTGACATTAAGAAACCCAAAAAGATGCATCATACAAAATAAATAGAATCATGTGATATGAATCATAATAAAATGGAAAATTATTTCGTTGTTTATCAAATTTCTATAGTACTAACAAGTAATCAATGGTGAACAAGACTAAACTAGCATTTAGACTTGAGCTTTTTTACTATAATATAATGAAATATTGATTATAAAATAAAACAGAGCAATTGGAAGAAAAAGAATTGTAATAATCAAAATAATTACTCAAAAATCAACCACTTGCTGCGTTGCATAATATATAAGAAATTTGATGAGAGGTCTGTTTTATAATAGTTGTGTAAGAATCACGGGACGAATGTTGAGAATAAGTAAAATACAAAAGTAGAAAAAACTCAAAAATAGTTTAAATATTTTTAAAAGAGAGAGTTTCATCAAAGTTCTGATACAAACTCACTCCTATACTGATGGCCAAGGTTGCGAGAACGGTTGTACAAACTTCTTTTGGATGCAATGATTTGGTTTGTGAAAATGGATTCCAATACCTTCAGCGATGTGTAAAAACGAGTTCGTAAACCATTTGATAAATTTGATGGAACATGATGGATAACCTTAAAAGTTTTGTTCAATTCTACTTGATGACCTGTGTCCACCAACTGAGCGGAAATATAACTTTTTCGGTTGAGAAAAGGATAGGTAAGAGTGACTAAGAATTTGTTCAACCACTCTCACTACCTTGGCCATCAGTTTGTACCAGGACTTTGATGAAGCTCTCTCTTTTAAAAATATTTAAACTATTTTTGAATTTTTTCTACTTTCGTATTTTACTTATTCTCAATATTCGTCCCGTGATTTTTACACAACTATCATAATAATGACCTCTCATCAAATTTCTTCTTATATATTATGCAACGTAGCAACTGGTTGATTTTTGAGTAATTATTTTGATTATTATAGACATTTTTCTTCCAATTGCTCCGTGTTATTTTATAATCAATATTTCATTATATGATTATTATGCAACGTAACTACTCTGTGAGTATTATTTCATTGTTGTAATTTTTCCCATCACATAATTTCCTGTATTTTAATATCATGTTGAACACCCCTCAATACAGTTTGGTTTAATAATATATCAGTAGTCACGATATCGTTTACTAATTAGCACTAGAATTAGCTCATTAGTATTTTTGTCTTAATATGCGATCAGTTATTTTCTTTATCCCATTTGATCTGGCGATTGTAGGATTTACAACAAACATCGTGACAATAGATATAATTAAGAATAATCTTAAAATAATTTTTTTACTTTACGATATGAAGAATTTATACCCAAAACTCAGAGATTAAATGACTATAGATTTAACCACTGGACTTTGACGAAGTATGCAATATTTTTAGAGTTATATCCTACATTTCAGCAAAACCTTATCATTACATATGGACATTGTCAAAGCACGATCTTGAAGCCTAAGTATTTTCAAAGTGATCAAGTGGATGATATAGTCACTTTTAGCAGGAGGTAAACCGTTTGATTAATCTATAATTATACTTAATTACTAATTACAAAGCTTGTTTAGGTTTCATTTAACTAAAATACTTTTAGCAGGACAGTGATCACATCATAATTCCATGGAACAGGAAGACTAAAATAATAATATATACGGTAAATTATGGCATCGAAGGACGTTTTATGTTGTTGTGTTCAGTACAATATAATTGAACTACAAAGTTATCAGTAAACTAGCTTTAAACATTAAGTATACTAACAAATTACGTGAGTGTTCGTGGATTAATGAAAATAATCGATGAGGACACCATAACCTTTACAACAACAACGGTGAACATAACCTGTCAAGCATATACTCAAATATATTTTTAGCTAAATGTAATTTTCAGTTACTAACCAACCGTAGAATATTCCTACTTCACATAAGTCGTTTGACGATGACCGACTCGATTTCATCTACTCACTCTACGTCTAGTGCTTTACACATCACAATAAAGTTTACACAGTTCTAACATTATGATCATTTTCTAGCTTAATTGGTGGTAAAGATAAGTGATAGTTGTAGAAAAAAATTAACTAAAAGGTTTAAAAATAAATCTTCAACGATCGTAGAGGTTCAGTCCTCATAGACAGTAGATTATAGACATAGACTTTGTCAGCAGACATAAAAGGTTTTCATAGTTTTGAAATCACGAACTGATCTTAGCCGTAACTGGTAAAGTCCAACCATATCGGGTGTAAGGCAATTACCCGCCTCATTCAATGAAAGGTGATCAAGGAATACCGTGAACTGAATGAAGTTAGATATTAATACGGACCAGTGGTCTAGAGACCAGGCGGTCGTTCAGCACCGAAGATTTTGGATTCGATTCCTGGATGAGGGCTCATAGATGCGAACTGCTAAGGTGTCCCATACTAGTGTGAAACGGTAGTCCAGTACTCCCAGATTTTCAATGAGGGTTGAACTAAGATTAGTTTGTGATTTGGAGTCTATGAATATTATGTTCTCTCTACAAATTCCTGGGCTGTAACACATGGTAGCAAAATAATTTTAACATCAAGTCATTCAATCGTTTTTATAGGCATCAATGCCAAGGTTGAATTTATTAATTTCAAACAAATTGAGCATTTGGTAGAATGTTAATAATAAATATATTTTGTTATATCCCAATGAGTACAAAACTCTTATTCCTAACGTTTCGTGACTTAATGTAAGCCACTTCTTCAGAGTAAATAAATAACCAAATTAAGTTAACACAAGTTGAAATAGTATTATTTAATTTAATCGTTATTTATTTACTCTGAAGAGGTGGCTTAAACTAAGTCATGAAACGCCAGAAATACAATTTTTGTACTTATTGGGATATAACAAAATATATACTCATTGAGTCGGTTTGTTGATAAATAACCAATTTACAAGTACTAAGTCAGCTAACTTTAAAACTATCTAATAGTTCAACCACGCCGTAAAATGTTCCATTGAATGAACACTTCTGTAAATAAAATTTATCTCTACCAATGACAGACTGAAGTTCTATAGTATATTAATAACTCTTTATCCCTTCAATTATGATGTGATCAAGATTGTAAGTCAACAGGTGTGCTTTCGTTTTAGTCTTCTTCAAAAACCTGGTAATTAATAGCATCTTACTACTTTATTTTGTGTCTATCGGTATAGCTTTAAAGTTAACAAGATATACTTGACAGATAATACTTCTCTTTGATCCATCTCATTGTCTACAGACACACAGGAGAAATACAACTGCCAATTGTGGTTAATCTGTACTTAAACGGCATATCAACTTTCATCATACATGCAACATTTGCACAACATGGAAACGCTGAACGACGGTATTTTCGCGTGTTAAAACAATAAGGTGCAAAAATGAGGAACTTTCAACTACATGGTTTTAGAAAATGTATCCTTTTAACTAAGTATATAGTTACACCACAAGAACTGTCCCTATTCGAATTGTATCATTCAAGTAGAATGCGACTTACCATACTCCTAACAGAGCTTTGTCATCTAGAGAAGCGATGTAGAAATTGTGGCCATGCCCACTAGGGATGTCCACAGATTCAAAGTGTGTATAAACTCGGGAACCAAAGCTAGGTCCACCTGCATCAAAAACAAGTTCAGAATCACTTCAGGTTTACTAAAACGGTACAAACAAACACGAAAGATATCACAAGGCCGTATAATACCCATTCTGAAATCATTTAAAGCGAATGTACGAAGTTAACACCTACTATGGACATCCTGGGCTTAGACAACCAGTCTGAAAATTAAAAACTGTACTACACAGTGCAGTTAGTTATTTTCACACAATCTCATCAACGTATTCAAAATAATTATTGAAAATCTCCAAATTATGGACTATGAAGTTAATTTCAGAAAGTACTAATGGGTGGACTAAATTATTTCATAAATGTATGGTTGAATGTTGTTTAAGCTTTGGAGATTGAAACCAAGTTAGTTGAAGATCTCGTAAAGTACTAGCGTCAAACCTCTTTCAAGTCATGCAGTTCATACATTAATACTGGGTTACGTATAAAAAAAATCAACCTAAAACATCCTTAATATGAAGTATTTCACAAAATTAATTACATTTATACTTTTGTATTCTTCTCTACCTCAAGATACAAAACACTGGAACGATTATTTTAGTAAGTATATCAGGAGAATCAATACATCTATTCATTAGAGAAACAGATAGTTCTGACGATACGCATGTGTTTAGATGTTCAGAAACAAGCTCACAACTTGGTAGCTTCATGTTTCTTTTTGGTTGTTATATTAGGTATGTATAAGTAAGTAAAAGTTCATTCGATAATTAAATGCATCGTATTTAGTTGTTAAACTTCGCCAAGAAATGTTCAATCATTTCTCATTGAACACCGTCTAAGTCACGAAAAAACACCACAAATCAATAACTAGTAAAAACGATGAAATAGTACCACAATCATTTCTCAACCGACTAAATTTGCTAAAAAACTTAACCTGTCTAAATTATAGAAATTTGACAAACACCCCATGATATTGAGTACAAAAAACTCCGATACAACTTAATTTGACCTCAAATAGAACACTAAGATCAACTTCAGGAGGCAGGTCTAGACATCTGTAAAACCTGCAAAGGTACGGGATATTTTAACTATTTGGCTAATTCAACCATCTTAACACACGTTAGTCCGTTAACATATTTACCACTGCCAAGTAAACTAGAAGTCAAAACCGAATTTCTTTAGAAAATTCAATGATACAAACTAGATTTTATTACCAGCTTAGCATCATGCAAAATACTAAACCTAATTGGAATCCAAAGCTCCTTCAATTTTTCCAAATAGTTTAACTCATTTCAACGAAAGCTAGCTGTCCGTATACAGCCCTTTAGATTTGAGGAAAAATACGGAAATAACCTCACAAATGTTTAGCTAATTAGGTGGATAAACGCCGTGCCTATTGCCTAAAAGAAATTAACAATTCATAACCTCATTGACTAATAATACTCCTTAAATTACTGGGACCTACACAGAAAATGATTCAATGCTGCTTGATATGTACTTGTTACGGTTTCGATGATTAATTAATTTCTGATGACTGAAACCTGCAGAAAGTTTCCCCACAGGACGATGATTTCCAATATAATATCAAATAATTTTTACCTAGAATCACGATTAGATAACCATTCCCGGGCATTTAGCACTCACCAGTGTAAGAAGACTTACATAGCAGTCCAGGGATAAGGAATGTAAACTTTTATAGAAATCGTCTTATGAAGTCCCGTTTTCTCTGCAAGTCAAGCTAAGATAGTGTCCCATGAGCAATGACACTCATCAACTACAAAAATATCAAGCAACACAAATACTGTAGCAAATAAAAGCTAGGTATCGATAAACAATATTTAGTTTCATACTTTATGCCATCAGCACCTGTCTTCGCAAATTTACTTGACCCTACATGCGCTAATCCAATCCTACAAAAATGTCGACTTGGACAAATTCCCAAGTCTCGAGAAGCCAATATATGTGGTGCTACACGGCCCTAAAAACCTTTAAATTCGCTCCTTTTTGAATCTTAAACTTTAATTTTCATTGATTCATTGGTACTTTTTTAGGAACAATTCGTTCCCTGTAGCTAAAATAGGTTCAACTAACCAAACCAGGAGTCGAATATTCTATTTACGACTCCAACAAGATTATATACTATGATATATAAGAATCTATTGGCCAGAAATCCTCATTAACAGTCATTTTCTTGATGAACTAATGAAATTTGTGCCGACGTTTATTTACAACAACAAGTGGTAGCTACAGAAATGACTTACTGTGTGTTTTAAAAACTAGTCGCCGACAAAAAGCAGGAAACTTCTCTACAATCAACGGTAATGCTATGTACAAGATCAGAGCCAAGTGCACTAAAAATGCTGACACCCATAACAGAATCATTACAGGCGCCTGACAAATAGTTACTTTCGCAATCTCGTAACCCCTTATTTAATTAGCATAGTTAAACAAAGACCAACAAGCCTTGTCATGAGTAGTTCATCGATATCAACCAGTCAAAGCGGATTACTTTTTCACTTCTACTATGAACCACTGAAATGACCGTGACACGGAAACGTCAACCATCTTGCGTATTGATACCTAGTTGTTGACTCTTCGAAACTGCAAACGAAGGACTCTTCAACGCCTTTAATCGCAAACCTAATTACTATACCATCTACAAGAACGGAGCTGATGATAACATGAGCACTGTCTGCCATAATGTTCCTTACTTAATTATGTTGACTTTCCCACTTCAAAACCGAACAACCCTTGATAATTAACGACCACAACGCACTATATAAAACGGTGAGAGTTACGAAATACTCACTTCTGACTCCTGTTTGGATTAAGTCTGGGATTCCCGATTAGATGAGTTGTATAGGTTCGGATTACTAATGGTGGACATCTGCAATCGTACATCCTGTAGCGGTAAATAAATCCTCAAAATAAATAGCTCTGTAAGTTTTCGACATTGGATGCCGACCATATGTTTTAGTGGACCCATCTAGCTGAAGGCGCTCGGTCAGGCATCCGCACCAGATCACGTGTGGTAACGCCGTGCTCAACATCTACCGCAATCGCTAGCAAGATTAGATCAGAATTCCGATATTTTTGTTATCGCCAAATAAACTCTTCCGATCTCCTCGACTCTGTCTTTTGATTTCTCTGGGTGGTTACGAATTATATTAGAAGGTGTTACTGGTAGAAGCGTTGTCAAACACTGAATACCTGTGTCATTCTTCATTGGTGAGCCCGACGTGATCTGGTACACCTAGTTGCAACTGTGAGTCTGTTCCTTTTTGAGATTTTTGTATATTATTGCTTTATTTCTTATATTTTATACATTGTGATTTTTTTGTGTTTTTTCCTGGATATATATATTTTTTTCCCCTCGTTCATTATCGTACTTCATATTTCATCATGACAGAACAAACTCCTAAAGTATTTAAGATTAAGACCATGTCCTCACCCTCCTTCCAACTCATGCCCTTCTGGCCTGACAATATCGAAGCCTTGTTCTGCTACGCAGAAGCCGACTTCCACGAGCACGTCGTGAACGACACGCACACAATTCCCCGCAGTAGTCAAGGCATTACCGCGCGAATTCAACAGGTACGTAACACCTAGTATGTTTACTAGTGATGTTTCTGAACCATACGAAACCTTTAAACGTTCGATTCTTAAACGAGGAGACTTAACCGATCGACAAAGGTTAGATCAACTCTTTTTAATAACATAGACCTGCAGCACGGTTCTGCGACGGACATGTTGCAATGAATTAGAGAGGTTATGGGCCCAAGAACTTTCGACGAAGATCTATTCAAACAACTCTTCTTGTCTAAACTTCCCCAACAGGTGCAAGCAGTTCTGGTCTCGTTTCAGAACAACGCCTTAGACGAGCTGGCTGCATCTGCCGGTCATATCTTAGAAATAACTAAATCTTCTACTTCCGAGGTATTTTCAGTCAAAGAAAAGCCTCACACGACTCAGAATGACATAATCGAGTTATGTCACACACTCACGCGTTATCTTAGTCTTCGTACCGACCGTAAGAGATCGCGCACCCCACGTAGAAGCATGTCACGTAAGCGATCTGTCTCTAGACCACGAGAGACAGATAACCCTGACTGGTGCTGGTTTCATAACCAGTATGGAAAGTCTTCCAGAAATTGCAGAAAACCCTGCAATTTTCCTATCTCAAAACCGACTGACTCGAAAAACAACTCGGGAAACTTCCAAGCCGGCACGCGTTAACGGCGACCGCAGCCGGCGAACATAGCCGTCTGTCATACGTCACAGATGTGACAACGAGAGTTCGCTACCTCGTCAATACTGGCGCAGAAGTTAGCGTTCTCCCAGCGAATTCCAACGACCGACTTCACGAATCGGCTGTAAACTTACAGGAGGCAAACCGAAAACCTATCGCTACGTATGGCAAAATGTACGTTTACCTTAACGTGGGTTTACGCAAACCCATTCACTGGATTTTCGTCGTTGCAGATGTTTCTATGCCAATTATTGGTATGGACCTTCTACAACACCACAATCTGATCGTCGACACGCGCAAACGGAGGCTAGTAGACGGAAACACTAATTTTTCCGTTTGCCTAGCTTCCTTTTCTGGTTGCAAAATATCCCCAGTCACAATTAAGCTTATGATAGACCCACTCTATCAGCCACCACTCGATAAGTACCCTGGAATACAATAAACTCAACCGAAAATACCGTGTGTAACCAGCAATGTTACACATCACATAACGACTACAGGACCACTTGTATTCTCTAAAGCACGACGACTAGCTCCCGAAAAGCTAAGGTTGGTGAAAAACGAGTTCGACCACATGATAGACTTAGGTGTCATAAGACCGTCAAACAGCCCATGGGCATCTCCATTGCATATGGTTCCTAAAAAGGACAGCAACGATTGGAGTCCAACTGGTGAGTATCGGCGATTGAATGTGAAAACCATTCCCGATCGTTACCCGTTGCCTCACATTCACGATTTGACAGCCACCTTGAAAGGTACAACTGTCTCTTCGAAAATCGACTTGGTTAAAGCGTATAACCAAATCCCTATGGCTACTGACGATATTCCTAAAACAGCTATCATAACTCCCTTCGGACTCTATGAATTTTTGCGAATGCCTTTCGGTCTAAGAAACGCTGCTCAAACATTCCAAAGATTCATAGACGACGTTTTTCGAGATCTCAACTTCGTACATGCGTATTTTGATGACTGTCCAATCGCAAGTCCGGACAGAGAAACACATCTCAAGCATCTGGATCTTGTTTTCGAACGACTACAAAAACATGACATTACTGTAAACATTCAGAAATGCCGAATCGGAACCGACTCGTTAGACTTCCTAAGACACACTAAAGATGCTCATGGCATTCGACCCCTTAGGACCAAAATGGCGGCCATTCTGGATTACCCAGAACCGACCACCGTCAAACACTTACGAACTTTTAACGGCCTTATAAGTTTCTATAGACGATTCATACCTAAATGCGCATTAATCTTGAAACCTCTTACCGACCAACTTCGTGGAAATGCGAAATCCATTAATTTGAACGACACCGCACGAAAAGCGTTCTCCACAGTTAAGGAACTGATCGCTAAAGCAATAGTGCTCGCACATCAGAACACCGAAGCACCCATTAGTATCGCAGTAGACGCATCCGACTCTGCAATCGGTAGAGTCTTACAACAATGGGTTAACAACTCTTGGCAACCCTTGGCATTTTTCTCTAGAAGGTTGCTAGACACCGAATCGAGGTACAGCACATTCGATAGGGAACTCCTAGTTATGTATTGTGCTGTACGGCATTTCCAACAATATATCGAAGGCCGTGAATTCATCCTTTTCACTGACCATAAACCGCTCACTTTCTCGTTAAGCTCTCCTTCTGACGAGTACTCTCCCCGTGAGTCTCGACAACTGGATTACATTTCGCAGTTTACTTCAGATATTCAACGCATCTCTGAAGCAAACAATGTAGTTGCAGACGCCTTATCTCGAATAAATTCCTTGAACAGTTTCCAAGGAATCGACCTTCTGAAACTCTCCCAGCTTCAAAAGGAAGACACCGATCTTCAGCACGAGTTATCGTCTACAACCCTTAAACTATGCATCAAACAGATGGGAACAGGTAAGGAAACTATACTTTGTGACACATCTACAGGTAAGGATCGCCCAATCGTGTCGTGGTTTTGCTGGCCTGACATGAATAAAGACATGTGGGAGTGGGCACGCGCCTGCGTAAGCTGCCAGAAATCTAAAGTTATCAGACACAACAAGTGTCCCTTAGGCTCTTTCAAAACTCCCGATGCTCGATTCGACCATGTTCATCTGGATTTCGCAGGACCTCTACCAGATTCAAATGGATACTCTTATCTCTTGGCCTGCGTTGACCGTTTGACTCGATGGCCAGAAGCAGTACCTATCAAGGACATCACTGCTGAAACAGTGGCCCGCGCCTTCGTCAAACGATGGGTAGCAAACTTCGGCTGCCCTTCAACCATCACTACAGACCGCAGACGTCAGTTTGAATCTGAACTTTTACGTCGTCTGACCACACTTTTAAGAATCACTCGCTTCTGAACGACTGCCTATCACCCACAAGCAAATGGGTTAGTAGAACGCTTTCACCGACAACTAAAAACTTCACTATCAGCTGCAAACGTTTCACAGTGGACCGACGCTCTTCCACTCGTCATACTAGGTATTCGCAATGCAGTGACAGCTGACATGGGATACACTGCGGCTGAACTCGTTTGTGGAACAACACTTCGACTTCCAGGGGAATTCGTGGATTCTTCATCCTCTTCAATGAACATGGATCTAACCTCCTACACGAACAGGTTTACAAACGCAATGCGTTCAGTTAAACCTGTTTCCACTTGACCGCAATCAACTGAAGTTTTCGTTCAACCTGACTTACGATATAGTACACACGTTTTCGTTCGTCGAGACTCACATCGACAGCCTTTCGAATCAGCATACGAAGGACCTTTCGAAGTTCTTCGACGTGAACCTAAGTACTATATAGTCGATAAGAACGGAACCAACGATAGCATCAGCATGGATTGCCTCAAAGTAGCGTATTTAGAAGGAAATCCTATCTACGTCGATTTTCCTTCGATACAATCGAACGACACGACTCCACTCATAATTCCTCAATCGACAACCAACACACGCTATGTTACTCCGAATGTATCTGAAAATAAACGTAAAACGACGCGTTCTGGAAGAGGAGTTAGATTACCAGAACATTTAAACGACTATTGCACGTAAGGCACTTCTCGACATTTTATATTATCTCGATCTTTCTTTTTACGATATATAATATTTTTTTTAAAAACAATTTTAATCTGCTCATATATTTATACTTTTATTTTTAAAAACATTATAAATTTTTTTTTAACGAAACTACGTGTACATGAGTTTATTTTCCTTTTCGCCGACATTGTGTTTTTACGCACATACGAGTGTATTTCGACATGCACTTACATTTTCTTTTTCCGTTTCCAGGACGGCTGGAAAAGAACGATGACGTTTATGAGGAGCTGAAATTTTCATTGTACATTTTCTTTTTTTATTATGTTGTACCTCGGTCCCATATAGTAAGGAAAGACGACCAAACGCTGCTAATCCTAACAAGCTATCAGAAGAGTGTTTACCAACGACAAACTCGTTGAGTTTAAACTTCTGGCTGGCCACGTCTTAGGGCCATCACTAAACCACTAGGGGGGAGTGATCTGTAGCGGTAAATAAATCCCCAAAATAAATAGCCCTATGTTTTCGACATTGGATGCTGACCATATGTTTTAGTGGACTCATCTAGCTGAAGGCACTCGGTCAGGCATCCGCGCCAGATCACGTGTGGTAACGCCGTGCTCAACATCAACATGGAGGGATTTTCGCAAACACGCAAAACATCCAAAATGGATCTTACAGCCCTTACTTTAATTTCACAATCACCTCAACAATTTATACGCTACTAGTTTTACCCTTTAGTTTCAGAATATTAATGACAGTTTTGCATTATCAATGTGAAGGTTGTAAGTCGAATGTCCTTGTAAATGGCTATTTGATATTCATTGATAGATGAAACTGTTCTCGAATAAACTTGCATATCTGATCCTGTTTCGATCTATCAGGTTAACCGTCGTAAGAAATTCGAGAAGTATGAACTTCTTGGCATTCAGTTCACATGTCACAACTGTCACGTAAAAGTACCACAAGGATATTTGCTTTTCTTTCCGTTTACGTTCTACTCAGATGTATGTAAAGGAGTCGGGTCTCCGTGCATATTGCCAACCGAGACAGATCAGTGCACTCCTAACCTTCTCATGACCTATACCAGCCATCATGGTCTATCACGTTAGTTGGTGAGTGGTGATGCATCATGTGTTTCCTAAACATCCCTTTCGGTAAAAATGCCATCCTTGCAGAGACTAAGGGTATGGTCTCACAGATTCTGGCCTTAATATCCTATAATGTTAGAGCAAATCTCCAATACAGGTATGATGCTATACTAATGACTCAAGGGTACTGTATATTGTGAAGTACACCAATCTACGTTCTCACTCAGCTTCTTAGTGAATATACGACAACAGTTCTATTAAACTGTTCATAATCTCCGTCTTCATCCTCATAACAAGTAAACATGAATCTACTGAATGTAATGTAAAAAATGTAGTAAAATTGTAATGTACAGGAGATGCACATTGCATGCCTTGTCTTTGTTGATAAACTGAAATAAGGAATAGGAGTATTAGTGTATTAATGAATGTAATCAAAGTAGAGGGTTCCAGGACTTTGTGACCTCTTAAACGGGTGAATTTATCCATAACGCAATCACGTAAACTTAATGTATCGCCCAGTGTCACCTGTGCGTTCAAGCAACCACAGATTTTGTCATTTCATAATGTATTTTTAATTAAATAACTAGATTATGTTGTTAATTCTGCTCTGTTTTTAATTTTTATTCGCCACGTCTGACTGCGTTACACTGCACGTTCTCTGCACGCTGGAATGATATCTCAAGTCATATATGACTAACTATAGTTAGTTTATTCACATAGTAGATTGTTTCCCGATAGACCGTCAGTGCATGATGTTACTGAAGAAATGTTTGTTGTGCTGTAGACTATGTTTTTATGAACAACTGACTGTTGTCTTCAGTCTCAATCGCTTTAAAGCAGTATATATCTCCTTTGTCTTCCCTTAGGTAAGTTGGACTGGCCTATATCTGGTGTTTTGGTTTTATCGGCTGGATTATGTTCATTTTACTCCGTTTAGCAACATGTCTGTGCAAATGGAACAATAATTATGACACTTGCTTAGTTTAGTATTTCTTGGTTGCCTTATAATTTAGATTAGTCTATAGAATTATAGTGTAGTGCTTAAAGGCTGTAACGAAACGGATCAGTTTAGTAAGTACAACTGTCTGTTTTTAATGAGTATAGTGATTGAAATCAGTCTGATTAAAAATAGGAAAAAAGTGCCTTTGGTACTGTTGCTGTCATATATTATAAGATAGCTTTAAGTACGTTTGGTGTTTATTTGCTTCGTCCTCCTGTTTCGGGGAGAAATATGACAATAATTATGTTTACCTATGGCCAAGAACCTTCCTTTACTATTCAAAAGCAGAGTAAACAGTTCGTTAACTCATCCTAGAAAACTTGAAATCACGAAATTGGGGTTTGGAATTTGAAACGTCCTTCTTTGGCTCGTTGCTTAAAATTTGACCCTGTTTGTAAAGGGTGTGAAGTATTCGAATCATAAGAAGATATATTTGGTATGTTCATTGTTAAGGATAGATTTTTAGGTCAAAGTATACTATTCTGACACCATCGAGTGAACCAATTAGAATGAACACAACCATTTGTGAATTCTGACACGAAATCAATGGCTCACCTAAGCAACCGAAAGACAGGAAATAAGGGTGAGCAAGGGGGAAATAAAAGGAAAATTTCATAAGAAAATAAAAATAAATGCGTCCAAAAATCTGTTCTGCTATGAGGAAATATTGCAAAAATTTCCGTTTTTGTTCTGTGTTTGAAATATCGCCTGAAATTACGCTAAATTGTGTGATTTTCGTCTGACCTCAAATGTCTCCTAATTACTGAACAAATGCCTAGACTCAGTCAACTGTCTTAAAATGCTGTATGTGATTAAAATCATTGACAAGAATTATCATTTTACAAGGAGATTAATAACCGACAGCTGCTAGCCATACATTTTCGTTGTAAGTTCAAAGTTCCACTGCCATTTACAAAGAAGTTACAAGTAATGCGTTATTTAGTAAGAATATACTAGTTGTTGAGTGCACATGAAGTCGTTTACATGTGACGTAAGTCACTCACTACATATGCTTAGTTTCGATGTAGCACATGTGGTAAAAAAGTAAGTGGATAGTAAGGATTATCATCCACTAATCACGTCAGTATGTTCATTTTAAATGTTAAGTATTCCAATGTATTTAGTAGACTCAGAAAGTTTTCCCTAATGTGCTCTTGCTGAAGACATCAAGTTCCTCTTGAGATGACAAAGAGGACTGCAAACTTAATAACTCAGTGTCAAGTTTCCGTTGGTGATCACTTTGGACAGACCTAGACACCAGCTGAATAATGTTCGCACTGAAGTCTGATATTCTTGATATGTTCTACAGAGAAGCATGTGATTTTTCAATCTCAAGTATTAACTCTAATCTAATTACAAATGAGACTTACTCAGAAGCTAACGCACTTCCAGTATGCTTTGACACGGACGTTGAGGGCGACGCTTCTAGTTTCGTGGAACTCGTCTATTAACATTTATGAATGAATTACGCCTACTTTGCCGTTAATGATACCGTGGTGTCTAGTAACCCGAATTTCGGGTGTTAAATGTAGCTGTTTCCATCCTGCATTTCAGCCACGTCACCGGAATTATACATTCATGCACTCACAGTGTATGTTTCAATCAACTAAGTAAAGACTGCAAATATTTACTCTTTAAGGTGCCTAAAATTGACAAAATTACCTACCGTGCAATATGAGGTTGAAATCGTTTATGTCTTTCTTTCTACGAACTAATTCTCTTTTCCTGTACTATATCCTTATACAAAATCGTTCTTTTATGTATTACCACCGTTGAATTAACTGCTATGAATCTGGTGTTCATCTAAATATGCTAACTAGGTATGGCAACTTGGATCGATGCATATATGTGCCTGGTCCTACGTTGTAGCTGTATATTACAAGGTAGACCTGTTCCTGATTAGTTTTTTGTGTACGTGATGTGATTCAACGGATAGGCGGGGATTTTTTGTTGCTAGGCCGTGTTCTCTCAATCTAATTACTGACTCTAAATCTCGGCTTCAAGTTTTCTAAGTTTGTACACAAAAGTGTGGCAGAACGACATTGAATTATAACTGGACAAACAGAATATCCGCCGCAAACAGGTTTTCACATCGATTCACTCAATTTTGTTACTTGTCACCCGAAGCAGTCGTGTCCTCACCTTCACTTGACGCATTCAATAGAAGAATAGACACTCACAGAAGCTTAGTAGAAAAGGACTAACACAGGCCATCGATCTTCTGTTTTAAATACATAAATCTGCATCTGATATCAGTTTTTGTTGAACACCCTAAACCTAGTTCGTAATCCTAATACATAATTCCAGTTTAACTCCTTTTACTTAACTCTAACCTTTTTGTATCACAGCTGACATCAGTTGGTGATGAAAACGCTGTATAGTTGCAACCGTAACTGATATCACCATCCCATTCGGGCTTGCCGAACTCGGTCGATTATTTTCTACAGCCCTTTCAGCCTATTACTTATAATCGTTTTTTGGAATACATTGGTGTATTCTCATAAAACATTTCTTTTAGGGTTTTATTGGAAATGTGACTGAAAGTTATTAGGTACTACTCCTAATATGCGTTTGTCTTTCATGTCGTTTTAGGAGGGAATAATCCTGATTTTATTATTTATTTAGGACTTTTCAAGCCCTTATTTTCGTACCTCAATATTCTGGCTAACTCCACAATGCTTGTGAGTTCACTCTGTGCGGAGTCTCAAATATTTAAATGTAAAAGGTATGGTCCAGATCAACATGGAACTCATAAGGTACTCATAGAATCTCCTAAATGTTTACAAACGTCATCAGGCAATATCTTCAAATCAATCGGGATACTATTGCAAACTTGTTGAGTATGAATTAATTAGAGAGGTTATCCTTGATTTGGCATATGAATATGAACTTAACCTGTTGACCAGCTATGAAAGTGATCTTTATTGTACAGTGGCTAGGATATGGACTGAATGTCATGTTTCTAAAGGAATAGAAGAAACATGTTTTTACAGTAAAGAAGAACATGGAAATAAAATTATGGATGATATCCTTTCGATATTGCATACACGGATGGAAAAGAAGCTAAATGAAAGACTGGGATTGTTCGATGACCACAACCAAGGTTAGCCACCATTTTTTCGTAATATATTTCTTTCAGATCAATCTGAAAGCAATCATTCAATTGGAGTTGAAAAGCTTCGAAATAGGAAAACTGAACTCGCTACAGAACTTAGAAGGTTACAGGCATCATTCACAGAAGTATGTAATTAAAATCATTAGTTTTCTTATAATTTTGAGACTTACTTTTTTCAATAGTTTAAATCATGAGTCAATTGAAGCTAAACCACCATGGAAAACATAGAAGCACTGGACGGCCGTTCCGTCCTAGTATAGGACTCCTCAGCAGTGCGCATCCACGACCCCGCACCCCGCGTGGTTCGGACCCAGGACCTATCAGTCTCGCGCGCGAGCGCTTAACCATTAGACCACTGAGCCGGCATCCAACGGTGTTAATGTCTAACTTCAACTAATCCACGAAATTGCACCACCGTACACCATTGTCTTCAGTGAGCTGATATCTCACAACAGACCTGGTTGAACTCCACTGGTCACGGCTTCTCACTAGAACTCTAGGAGTGTCTCTTGAAGTCAGTCACTAGTGAACAGATGATTATTATCAGAAGGGGTTTTGTGGGGATTTTAGTATTTTCAGTAGTTGAAATCATGAATCAATTGAAGTTAAACCACCATGGATAACTTACTTTTTACTAGATACTTTTTGCACTAAGTCCAGCATACCCATCGATCCAACCAAAAATCGAGTAACGTAAAACCAAAAATCTTGCAAACTAATCCTCATATCAATATTCAGTACCTTGTCGAAAGCTAAACTAAGTACTACCCTCTCTTCCCAATTTGCTCCCTTAATTTCCACTTTCTTGTCACGTCACCATTCTTTAGGAAATAAGTCATTTTCGAATCTTTCATATCTTGTTATCTTAAAACTTCTGTTATTATTGTTACGATTACAACTGTAACCACTGTTATTATTAAACTATAATTCAGACCATGTAGATGCCAAAACATGTTACACAAGAGGGAGTGGGTTAATATTAAAATGATATTATAGAGTTATATAAATAATGTTGATGCGAAAAAAATGTGAAAACGGGTACACAGAAATTTTTTGACTGTTATGTGTTCAAATAAAACAGTAGTATCTTCAACCCTTTCCACACTGGGTTCGACTTCGAATCCAATGTTTTTTGGAACCTCGCGTCAAGAGTTAAAATATGCCAACAGGCTCATTTCCAACTCGCCTGTCATCCAATTTAGCATTAGGTTATAAATCCGCAACTTTTTCTAATGGTACTGAATTATTATCGATACAGAGCCCATTAGAATAATTGCTTCCATTTATTAGGCCAATAAAACCACCAACACTAGTACTGCTTCTTTTTCTGCTTATTCTTTTTGACTGGGACTGTCATTCACCTATACGTACCTCCCGCGGTAATCACATTCTACCGACGGAAATAATCTCTGTTTCTGAGTTATCACATGCATTTTGATACCTCTATATGTCACTTGGCTGTCAATCTACTGTCACCTGCATATTACATAACCGTAGTTGCTGTAGGTGTAATGTAATCATTTTGTAGACTATGAAATTGTTTGTGGGGTATCAATCATTTCTTAATATCAAAAAACGGATATTATTTACATCCAACTGAATTCTGTATGTTTATCTGAGATCACTTTTTATTTAAACTTGAATATTCTTAGATCATATCAAGGATATACAATACATCTTCCCGTTTATTTCGTGAATATCGACACGTAGTTTGGCCACGAATGAGTCGTCAGGCATTAGCAGTTTTAACTGAACAAGCCAAAGCCTTACTTTTGCGCGTCAAAGTTTTGCAGAAATCCATTGAATATTCCACTTCACAACCTTCAGAAACTTTAGATATCCTGAAGAAAATTCAGTATGTCTTCTTTTTTCCAAGTTCTATCATTCTTATTAATTACATTAGTATTTTAATGAACGAGAATACCAGTGGGGACGACCAAATGTATTTGAGCACAAAATTACAGAATCTCTTAATAAAATCTGAGGACCATACAGTAAACGCTTCATTTGCAAAATTTTAATCATTTGTCTCAGACTTGATTCTTCCTTAGTTTCCACATTAATAACTCACTGTTCTCGTTCTCTTCAATCTCCTTAACCTTCTCTTGCCAGGCATTTCACTTATGACTGGTGATACATACTACTTACATCTTTCGACATCAGTAGCACACACCACAGTATTACTTATATATCACGACAGTATTTGTCACTCTACAACCCTACCACGTATTAATATCAATCGATAAACAAATTAGTGATCAGATTAATCAAACCTCCATAGAAAAAACCGCACAACAAGTCAACAGAGGCGAAAATCTAGTACTTGATGAGTAGACAGATAGACGAATATTTACTGCAGTGTTACATCATTTTTATTTTAAAGAAATAACAATCAGTCCACATCTGATTAATCAGGCTTTCCAGGTGTAATAATTATTAAGAGATTGAAATCACATATTCTGTATGTATATATAATTCTGACTTCTGTTCAAGTTGTATTTTAAGGGCTTTATTCGCTCGAGCCTATTGATTTATCGGTTTGGCCTGAAAGTAGAACTAGTAAGTCTATAAGCGATACCATTCTGTTTCATCTGTCGGGGTTCGTATGCGACATTAAGGTATGGAAAGTGTGATTTGTAACAAGTACTATCTGTACGTAACGAAGCTATGACAACTAACAAGATTATTCGGGAGAAATATACATGAACTTTGCTCACCGTGACCTTCATAGGACGAATGCACTCGGTCAACAGTGTTGCTAGAAGTTCATTTTATGATCTACACTTCATCTTTTGTGTATCTCATTGCTTTCTTGCAAGGAGCTAATTTAGTTCAATGTATCCCAATTTAACCTTAGCATAGTTTCGAAATTACCATGATCATTATTAACGTTCATGTTACTAATTTATAAACCTACATAGCGTTTCTTTTTTTATGTATTCAAGAGATATACCACCTTCTAATCAGATAATTCATCTGTACAATAACTATTCTTACTCTATGATAAACATGCGACTATCGTTTTGGTTACTTAGCTTTTTATTGCTAGTCACTACCCCATTGTTTTTGCTTATAAACTACTACACTTTCACCGACTCGCAATCCCTTTCGTTTCAACCACAACTGTTATGTACAAAGTATTCGAAATTTTCTGACTATTAAGTCAAATCGGGTAGTTATTGGCTTAGTTGTTTCCTTAAGCACATTTTTCATTCCAGGATCCTACTTATTCTATTAAGAATTATCGCTTCTTTATCATTTCTTGTTTGTTTCGTCGTTTGTTCTTTTTATCTTCCTCATATTGTGTCCTTTTGTATTTTTACGTCACCCTATTTTTTCTCATCCTATGTCTAGCTTTTGTTTTGTTTTATTGTACCGTGTGTTAGTAAATTATTTTGCTCTTGTGGTTCTGCTGAGCAAATTATTCGTCTTCATCTAGTTTTAACTTACTGGATAACTTTGATCTTGAATAAGTCGGTGTTTAAAGTGGTTGTTAAGTGATAGCTTAAAGTTGACTTCCAAACAACCAGTTTCAGCTTGTATCTTCCCTCCATTCACTTGGGTTTCGGGCAACAACTTAGTGTCCTTAACCTTCAATAAAACTGTATGGTAAATTCGTGTACGGATTCCTGAACTTGGTTTCCAAGACTCATTCAATAATAATTATAATAATAACAACAGTAATAATGTGACTCCTGATAAATGGTCGTAAATAATGTACATATTAGACGTAGACTATGTAGGACGTAGCATGAACATATATCATTCTAGATTGTCACATCGCATAACAGCTCAACAAAAATGGAAATTAATAACATAAAGTGTAATGGGGGAGATAATATTTACCTCAATGGAGAGCTAAATATAACAAATATAGTTGAAAAGAAAAGAATTTCATTCAATGACGAAAAGTATAAGCTGATACGAAATCCAAAATATTAAAGAAACTGGTGAATATATAGAACTGTCCTTTTGTGATTAGTTTAGTGTCATATAACCGAACATGTTTAACAATAAATTACGATTATTTCTCAGATCTTAACATAAAAACTTACAACTACCGAACGTGTCTTCATGTCTACCAATTCAAATATATTGTTAGTGGTTTATTAATTAAATCTATTGAATGCATTCCATAATATGCTAAGAATTCCCCGTTTTGGAAATACATTTTATCATATTTCTTTCATTTTTTTATTATTTAGCATTGAACTTACTAATTCACGTTGTGTTTTACAAAAAGAGGTGAAGGAGTTAGAAACATTGCTTGCTACATATGACAATAAAGACGGCGAATATCATAAATTAGTAAAAAGATATGTTGATTGTCAACAACAATTATCTTTACGTTCTACATTATTACACGATAATGATACTATACAACTTAATCGAAGATCACATAAGAACTTTTCAAGTCGTCGATCTTTGAGTGTTGACGTTATAACTCGTAAATAATTAATTTAAAATGTTCTGTATAGTTTATTTCGAAATTTCGGTAAAATATAGTGTTTTGTAATCTTGATGTTTTCTTACTATTTTTCTAGTGTTTAACACTTTTTGTTTGCTGCTGTTCATCTAAGTTATTTATGGGCATTGGATTCATGGGAACTACAGTCTCACATTTAGATCTGGTCCACTTTGGGATAAATGATTGAATAGCATTGAAAATCGTCTCACACACAGTAATTTTAGCCACAAATTCTGTATTCACTTGATATTGTTTTACTTGAATTTTCCCATTGATGTTTTTTTTGGACTGAAATTGATCAGTCTCTTATTGGCATATGTGCATACTGTGCGTATGCCTCGATATTGCCTCAATTTAGAGGCATGATAAGCAAAGATGGATAGTGAGTAGCAGTGGGATGCAGTTTGACGCGCGTTTCGTCCTGTTTGGGACTCGTCAGCTGGATGTACCTGCATCTGACAGTTGATGTTCACTGTGGCACTCGAACCCAGTACAGTACCGTTCGCTTCAAACGCCATCGCGTTATCCACTCACCTACTGAGTGCTGATAGCCACCTGCTTGTGCAATCAGGTGAAGTTGAATTCACTTGGTATTGTTTTACTTGAATCTTCCCATTGATGTTTTTTTGGACTGAAATTGATCACATATGCCAATAAGAGACTGATCAATTTCAGTCCAAAAAAAACATCAATGGGAAAATTCAAGTAAAACAATATCAAGTGAATTCAACTTCAACCCATTGCACAAGCAAGTGGCTATCAGGACTCAGTAGCTAAGTGGATAACGCGATGGCGTTTGAAGCGAACGGTACTGAGTTCGAGTCCCAGAGTGAACATCAACTCTGAGATGCAGGTACATCCAGCTGACGAGTCCCAAACAGGACGAAACGCGCGTCCTGGATTCCACTGCTAGCCACTATCCATCTTTGCTTATAACAAATTCTGTAGTTAAACCATTTTATTTTAGTTAAAATCGCTATATTACGTCAGTATTATTACCTGATGGAAAATACTCACCTTAACTATAATTATTTATACCTTATTCGTCCATACCCTGTATTCTAAAAGCATAATATCATCTTGATACTTTCTTATGTAGTAATATTTATATTTACGGATAGGAAAGACAGAGTAACTGTTACCGTTGCTGTTGTTGCATCAATAATAATAATAATAATGTTAGGATGATATTCTATTTTCTTTATTGCTATGATAACTTTTTATTTAAATTATGTCTCCATTTGTTACACAAGCATATCAATTGTCTTTATTTTCTTATAATGTATTTTTATTTGGTAGTTAACAATGATGTATTCTGGGAATTTATATAGAGTAAACACTAGTTTTCAGATATGATCAGACTGATACAAATTGCTAGGTAATAGTGAGTTTAAGCCTACACTTTTCGAAAGAACACAATTTCCAGGTTACTTCAAAATGAGCATTTTGAATAAAATTGATAAAATGTGAGAAAATAAATGTTATGCAGATTGGAATTCTGAATGAGATGATATGACAATACGACGTTAGTGATTATTAACACTCCATAGCAAAAATAAATTCAGACGACAAAAGGTTGTCATAAGTATGCAAACTGATTTGGTATTCGAGAATACTGAGCAGGTTGTATGAATGTGTTTTCGTATGAAAAACACTACAGAGTTTCCATAGGAGGTACATGAAATAGTCCAAGCACTATAAATATCTCGAGATAGTCAAAGTACTATAATGCTAGGAAGTTCAAACCTTTTCATTTTTAACGAGCAAACACATGTCTTAAAAATCCCAGTTCCCTATTACTTCTCAGTATAGCACAGATCAAACTCACCAACAAATTACTTGTTCATGTATTTTCATCTTTCGACCATAGCTATTATACAGAGGCTTGTGGTGTAGAGTGCTTATCAAACTTATAACCTAATGATTGAGGGCTGTGCTTTCAACATCAAGGTGTTGCATTGTATCACATCAAATTTAGCTTGCTCTGATAGATTGTATAGCGAAGAGTAATGAAGACCAGTAACTTCTTAAGTTCATAGAATTTCAGATTTTATAAAGAACTGTATACTGTTAAAGCAATACGCAATGAAACCCTGCTAAAATAAATGACTTTATTGCCTTGTATCAATCCCTGCTTTCTTGCTTCTTTGGTCGAGGTCTTCAAGTTTTATTACTGCCAGAATAAGACTACGTTTTTATTGATCATAAGCTTTCGGATTCTTTGTCAACGAAGTAAATTGTCTTCTATTAAATTCGACTGTTGGACAACCATTATACGAATCGGGATGTGAATAATTTTCAATATAAATAAAAATAATATATTTGTAATATCCCAATGAGTAGGAAATTAGATTCTCTGACGTTTCATGACTTAGTGTAAGTCACTTCTTCAGAGAATAACTAACCAAAGTAAAATTAATCCAAGTTTAAATAGTAGAACGGAACAATCAAAAACAGATCTGAACAAGTTAGTATCATGTCATTTCTGTCAAGGTGATTCATGAGTGATATGTATGTAAATTTGTGTGTATGTATGTGTACGTTGTTTAAGTATAGATAGATACTACTTAGTTCAATCAAGAATTAATTTAGGTAATCTGAGTGAGCTGATTGACGCTAAACTTAAAATAAGTGAACTGGTTATTCGCAAATAATATCATGTTCTAAATTGTTGAGTAGTGTCTCATTGGGTGAAACATTCAAAGGTTTTGGGTTTCGGGCTCAAAATTAATCTCATTCACTTCAGTCTAGATCACTAAATTTTATCTCTGGTTGGGGCATACCATGTATGGCAAAAAGAAGACTACTTGGGTATTTACGTAGTTACTGATTTGGTTCTGTTTTTTAGGATGAAATATATTATTCAGTTATTTTAATAAGCTAAATTAGATATTGTTTCAACTGCTTCGATAACTAAATTGAGGTTTTACACATAAACCGCTTTATTCTAAGAGCTCTTAAATATTGACTTTTGTGTTTTACAGCTAGAGGATCCATTGATTTGTTATGAAATCTCATACCAGATTCAGTTTAAGTAAATTTTACTCAGTGAATGTTGTTTTATCCTCATCTTGTTGTGAAAAGAGTTTGCTGGTGATGTGTTCGAATTCACCGCTTATAGTGGATAATTATGTAACTGATTAATTTATCGAACTTTATTCAGTTTATATTGTTTTTGATTTCTAATATGAATTTTTATCCTTCAGCAGATTCATTTAAACATACACCTTTATATATATATGATGATTGTACAGCTTGATAATAAATTCGTTGAAAGGAGATTCTTTCGCTGAACTTCGTGTTTTTTAACGTTTAAATTGTGACTGTCTGTCATTCTAAATTAATGGACATATGAAAGCAGCACTTCTTGTCTCATGACTTTTTACCACTACACATCCACTAAGTCCTTTATAGCTTGGTTTTGTTTTTTGGCCTTCGATGATAATTTGATGATGAGCCGGTAAATAGTGTTCATTTATGGTCCTTCGTTGGTTAGTTACAATACTCCATTACTAACTACATATTAATCTGTTTTTTTTATTGAACTATGTATGAAATAAATTAGTCGATAGTTTATTGTACCATTGTATTAATATATACATATTTAATAGGTGGATAATGGCATTTAGAAGAGAAACATGAATTCTTAGTTAAATGCTAGATATATTCATATTGGATCCTAACTAACTGTATTTGATCGATTAGCTATTTCTTTGTTATTTTAAATTGCTTGTGTCCTCATAATATATCTTTTATTGTCATGTTTAGAATACGTCCTCCATGTGAGTCGACTATTGAATGGATGGACTTACAGATGCAGAACATTTACGAATTGAACAAAACCGAAAACGTGCCTTAGAACTTAGACTTTCACAAGTTGTGGCAAATGATCGGTATGTATCAAACTAACTGAATCGTATGCTTTTTATAAAGATATATAATACGGCAACTAATTGCAACATATAATTCATTTCTTAAAACTAGCTTTATGATTGTTCCATAGATGGTAAAAAAGCTTAACTCTTCCAGTAGCTGATTAATGTTTCGTTCTGTATGTATCATGATTATTCTGTTATACTTCACTATTATTAAATTCATATGGAGAAAACTGAGTAATGGAACGTCTTGTCGACACTCTTCACGATTGATAGACATACTTTTAGATGGAGTATAATTCGTTATTGTAGATAAAAACATATTTGCATTGTTTTTCGTCATAATTTGTCCCGTAACTAAGGTACTGTCAAAGTACTTAGTAGTTTAAGCTATTACAATGGTTTATTATATATGGTTACATGATACAATGTAATCCAATAGGTATATTCACTATTATTATCCGTGTTTGTATACGTTTTAAACATACGGGCAGTTTCATTTTTGTGAATCTCTACTTTTTTTAAACATACATTACATGAAAATCGTTTTGTAAACGTGGAGTACACAGATAAAATGATCTTTTCAGGCATGACTGACATGGTATGTAGTTTTATAAAATCGTGTAAACAATTTAGGGGTGTTTGATATGTATTCCATATCTATCTACAAAATGTTCTACTGATCTTTCATTATTGTTGTATTATAGATATCTTAATAGACTATAATATAGAGAGCTTTTTTCTTAACCTATGAGCTCTTATAACCGGTAAACTTTTCATTGACTGCTATTTTCTCACTATTTGTTATTGTTACACATATACAGAGTATGAAATGGTGCAAGAAGATTGAAAACATTTCGAAAATTCCAAGAATCCTATATTTATTATCTTTGTCTCTCCTTACCCTCCATTTCTAGCATAGTTGACCTTTTATTTTTATATATAAATGTTCTTAACAAGTATATGTGTGATTACATTGTTCGAAATGTATTGCGTTAATATACCACATAGTGCTGATAATCTTCGTCTTCTTAATACACTATCGCAATCCTATATTTATTAAATTACTAGTTACTGTTTACTACAGTTTTAGAGAATATTTGTTTTAAATA